GAGATAGCTCAGTGGAATAAACACTTCCCTGGCAAGCGCAAGCACCTGAGTTCAATCCCCAGTTCCACCACAATAAATAAATAAATAAACAAACAAACAAACAAGAAACAATGCTGTCTATAGTAGCTTGTACGGTAATCATTGTGGAGCTACTTAACGTTCCACAGGAGAGGGCTCATAGGTTTAGGCATAGTTTTAGGAAAACTAGCAGGTGCAGAAATAATGTGTTAGATGGACTAGGTAGGTGAGATTGCTGACTCATATCACAGGGCAGAGTAAGGAGGCAATTTAGAACCATACAGGAAAAAAAATGAGGAGCATACTACGAATGATAGAATCACAGTTATAATGGACAATTGTGGGATAATCAACCCATAAGACCAAGGTTTCAAACTTAAATAAAACACAGATGAAAATATAATTTTACTTGCTTAGTTCTATGGATTTTTACCTTAACTTTAAAAAATTATCTACTAAAAGCCAGGCACTGTGGCGCACACACTTGTAATCTCAAAACATAGGCTATACGAGTACTGAGCTGTGCATGGTGGTGCATGCATAATCCCAGAAACTGGGGAGTATGTGGACAGGATGACCCCACAATTGAGGCCAGTCTAGGGAATCCAGTGTGACCTTGTCTCAAGCTAAAAAATTAAAGGGCTGGGGATAAGCTCAGTGGTAGATTACTTGCCTAGCATAGCTGAGGACTTAAATTCTACCCCCAGTACGGAGTGTGGGTAGGCACAAACTGCTATCAGAACAGAGAGTGGTTAATGGTTATAGTACCGTGAATGTAATTACTACCATTGAATTGCACACTTTAGAATGGCTACAACAAAAGGTTAAAAGAGCTAATTTTGTCATACAGGGAGATCAGGCATGTTTAGGGTGGTATGTTGGTAGACAAATTTTGTTAGACATCACTTTGATGATGCTGATTTTTGGACTTCATGGCCCCAAAGCAATATGCACAGAGTAGAAGCTGTAGTTAGAATTTGGAGCTATCTGTGGGCTACAATGTACAGCAAGGCCTTTCGGCCAGAACCGCCATCTTCCAGTAATTTGCCAAAATGACTAACACAAAGGGCAAGAGGAGGGGAACCCAGTATATAATTTCTAGGCCTTTTAGAAAACATGGGGTTGTTCCTTTGGCTACATACATGCGAATCTACAAAAAGGGTGATATTGTAGACATCAAGGGCATAGGTACTGTGCAAAAAGGAATGTCTCACAGATGTTACCATGGCAAAACGGGAAGAGTCTACAACGTTACCCAGCATGCTGTTGGCATTGTTGTAAACAAGCAAGTTAAGGGCAAGATACTTGCCCAGAGGATTAATGTGCGTATTGAGCATATTAAATACTCAAAAAGTCGTGATAGCTTCCTAAAACGTGTCAAGGAAAATGATCAGAAAAAGAAGGAAGCCAAAGAGAAAGGTACCTGGGTTCAACTGAAACACCAGCCTGCCCCACCCAGAGAAGCACACTTTGTGAGGACCAATGGAAAGGAACCTGAGTTGTTGGAACCCATTCCCTATGAATTCATGGCATAAATTGGGGACATTGCTCTGCCATTCAGTACCTACTTGGCAGCTTAAGTGTTCTAGGTCCTATGTAAAAATAAAATCATCCTGTGTTGTAAGGGTGGTTTTCTTAGTTGAACAGGTATGTGGTGCCTTCTTACCTCAGAAATATTTGCAGCAGATTTTCACTGTACCCAGTAAATGTGTCTAGCCTTTACTCTTCAGTATTTTCTTGCTGAAAGATACTGCTGAGGTATTGCGCAGGTATATACCCAAAAATTCAAATATTTATAAAATATTTATATTGGCTTGAAGATCTTGTAAATCATCATGGGGAAAAGATGTATCAAAATAAATGGAAGTCACTTCAGAAACAAACTTAGGTCCATTTCAGTTAAATAAATTGTTTAAAGCAAAAAAAAAGTACAGCAAGATATTGCTTCATAGTGCAGGGCAGCACAGCAAGGCACAGCAGTACCTAGTCAGCCATGTGATTTTGATGGGAAACACCAGATACTCTATAGAGCTTTAAGACGTTAAATTACAATGCACAGGGACATTATATTTATATTTAATGTGTTTTGGGGCTGGGGAGATGGCTCAGGGGAATAAACACTTCCCTGGTAAGGGCAAGGGCCTGAGTTCAATCCCCGGTTCCACCAAAAAAAAAATGTGTTTTGACTCAGAAGAGCTTTAATTTACAATGGGTTAAGTGAACATACATAGAGTATCTGCTCAGCATTAAAATACTAGAGGAAGAACTAAGAATATTCATCAGTTTATATTTATGTTAACTCAAGCCTAGGGTGATGAAAATCTCCCAAAGCTACAATGCAACTACAAATAAATAAATAAATAAATCAACAAGCTGATGGCATTTGGTAGCAGTTGTTCCCTTTTTACTTTGAACCACCAGTTCTGCCACTCCACTTACTTGTCAGCTGCGTGGCAGATCGTGCCACAAGTGTCAGCCATATCATCTACAAGGATAGCCACCCTATCCTTCACATCTCCCACCAGCACCATGCGGTCCACTTCATTGGCCTTCTTCCGCTCTTTGTGAATCAAAGCAAAGTCTACATTCAACCGATCTGCAATGGAGGTAACTCTGCAAAACAGAGGATGTTCAAAGTTAAACACATGTATATGGAGCTTCTTAGGGGCTGGTGGTGTGGCTAAGTGGTAAAGTGCCAGCTGCTTAAGTCTATCCACAGCACTATCCAAAAAGAAAGGTGGAAAAAAAAAAAAGAAAGGTGGGCGGGAAGGATTGCTTGCATGTGTAGGTGGGGGTACTCCTTGAAACACCAAACAGTTAGTTCCCAGGGCTGGATGAAAGCAATTATCATAAACATCTTGAAGGCAAACATCACAAATTGGATTTAATGGCCTAATACCTCTACATTCCAGTAGCAGTTTAGGAATATAATACTCAACCTTAGATGATCATTCATTCTGGGTGGGGGATTAACAGACACCTTCACCAGTCCTGGGACACAGTATAAATACTAAGGTACATTTATAGTTTGGTAGTAGGAAGGGAAAAGAGAAAACTTCATTTGACTACACAGATGGTCCTAAACTCCATCATCAAACACTATGGTGGGATGAACTAGGTGAAGTTGAAGCTGGCAGGGGAGAAGCAGTGCTCAGCTTGTTAGTTACCCTCTGTGACAGTGACAGAACATCCACTAACTGTCAGAACATCCACCAACTGTCAGTGTCAATGGTACCTGATACCAAGCTTGTGCTTCCTTTTATGAATGCTAGAAAGAAAGTTATACCAATTAACCAAACTTGGCATTTCATTGTAAAGCCTCAAGTATCTCCAATTCCAAACAGAATTCTTATTTTTCTCCTATTACAACATAACATAAACAACACTAGAAGTTGGAATAGAAGTCTGTCTGGTGACAAAATAGCACATAATTCATTCAAGCAGGAAAGACTGCCCTGGTGAAATGTACCTCCATCTTCCATTGTGTTATCGTAGTCATGTGTGAAGAAAAGGCCTATGCTTTGGATTTTATCCTCTTTAAAAAAAATGTAGCTGGGGCTGGTGAGATGGCTCAGTGGTCTAAAGCACCTACTTGGAACAAGCTTGGCAAAGCAGAGGGACCGCAGTTCAATCCCCCAGTACCACATGCCAGCCAGCCCTGCCCCCTGGTGGGCTGAGCTGGCCACACACACACATACATACACACACACACACATATAAATAAAAAATGAAAATATTAAAAAAATGTAGCACTGCTGGGTGTGGTAGCATATGGCTATAATCCCAGCACTAGGGAGGCTGAGGCAGGAGGACCAAGGCCAGCTTAAATTACCTAGCAAACCTTCTCAAAAATGAAAGAGACTAGGTGTGGTGGTGTGCACCTGTAATCCCAGCACTTGGGAGGCTGAAAACAAGTCTGATCTGTATAGTGAGACCCTGTAGACTCTGTACTAAATACATAAAAAAATGAAAGCCCTATAATGAATGTCATCATTACATAGACCTAAATTATATCAATAGACTTAATTTAAAAAAATAAAATGAAAGCAAGCAAACATTTATTAAACTATAGCAAGCATTATGTCATGTTTTCATTTGGACTATGGTCTGAGTTTTCTGGTTTTTGGTACTAGGAATAGAACTCAGGACCTCATTCTTGCCAGGAAGGCGCTGAGTGACATACCTGAGTTTTGCTGGATGCAGAGAACCTGTGACCACCCAGTAAGGTTTGGACAATTCTAGGAAACAATCATACCTTATCTAAACAAATTACACCCTGCTCTCCATTACTATTCTTAGGACATTCACATCAGTGGTAACTAATTTGATTGAAATGATTACTTAGGCAACACAGATGCATAATTAATCCACGTGTCCCAAACCACTTATGCTGACCAAGAAATCAGAAAAGGGCGGGGGGCCAGGGAGATGGCTCAGTGGAATAAGCGCTTCACTGGCAAGCGCAAGGGCCTGAGTTCAATCCCCGGTTCCTCCAAAATAAAAAAAAAAAAAAGAAAACAAAAGGGCTATAAACACTGAGTCACCTCAAACTGCCAAGGCAGCAGTGATAGCCATACATTTGGAAAGTATCCCATTACTATAAGTCAATTTTAATAAAGAAAATTATAAAAAGTAGTAATTCATCTTCTGAAGGTAGCTTTCCTATACCCAACGTCAGAAAATCTGGCCCAAGTTTTTCAAGCATGACTAGTTTCTCCTAAGTCCACTGGAAAGTCATGAAGATAATGCCTAAGAATGTGACACTATGACAACTTCTATCTGGGGGAGTTTTTCTGCTGCATCTAACACAGTAGGTGGTAACCAGTGAGCGCATGGAACTCACCAAGTCATGCTTCCTTCTGGGTAGGTAACACAACTTAAGTTCTTAGCTTATCATTTCCTTGAAATTACTGAAATAAAGAAGTTGTTGTAAAACAGCCATTGAAGAGTTGAATGGCTTTAGGACAGTTGTAAATTGGCTTTTACTAATCATCTGTGTTCTGCAGTGCTTCATTTTCTTTCCACAAGAACATGTGTCATTTTGGTGAATGCTTTACTAATGAGCAATCCACTACAGAAATCAAGGGCTCTTAGTCTGCGCCATGTGAGCTTGAAAGCACTATAACTGGCAACAAATTTGTTTAAAACATCACACTATTTTCCTTCCTGCTAACAGTTTGATCCCAAGGATCAAGATGATTTAACTAACAGCATTATAAAAGATATGTAAAAGCTTACTCTCCCACTAAGATGGGGCCCAACAATAGCTACTGTTCATTAGAAAAATTTACTACGCTTCCTGATAAGTTTATAGGGGTGGGGGCCTGCCCCTTAGCTCAGTTTTTTAAGTGGCTGCTTCAACAAAGCAGTCAGGCTCAGGTTGCTGTGGTTCAATCCCCACAACTCAAGCCAGCCAAACCTGCCCTGAATGCATTTGCAGCAAAAAAAAAAAAAAATCCTTATTGGGCCCGGGGAGATGGCTCAGTAAAATAAGTGCTTGCCTGGCAAGCTCAAGTGTCTGAGTTCAATCCCCAGTTGCACCAAAAAAATTAAAATAAAAATAAGTTTATAGGGGCCAGGGAGATGGCTCAGTAGAATAAGCAAATAAGCACTTGCCTGGTAAGTGCAAGGGCCTGAGTTCAATCCCTGGTTCCGCAAAAAGAAAAAAAAAATTCTGTTAAGTTTATAAGCAATGGTGTTAGCTCTGTAATGCCAAGTTACTAATATTACTGCTATGACTTACTTATATCTAGATGTCCCCCCCAAAGGTGGCTGGATTATGATGCGTGAATGTGGATTAATGGTGTGATGCTGGCATTAACAGGGTGGATAATGGAAGCCCCACTCTGGGTATGGGTGGTACCAATCAATAGGCTTACAGCCTCAAAGAATATAAAGGGAAATAGGGAAGGAAGACAGGCTTCTGTGTCTCCTGCCTGCTTTGTCATGGATTATTTCGCCTATGCGATTCTCTCCTGTCATGGTATCCTACTTGGAGCCAACCAAAATAAACCTTTCCTCCTTTAACGTTGGGTGTCAGGTATTCTGTCTCAAAACACAAAAACTAACTAAAACAGTTACTATACTTATAATCAAGTTCACAATATCATTACTATTTAGGGCCACTTTTGTCTTGTGTACCTACTAGTAATTCCAGTCACTAATTATAAGCTGCATACAACTGCCATGGCTTGTGCTTAGATGTTCCCCCAATACCTCCTCATGAAGAGCAGGCGGGGGGTTTTCAGAGGTGGCTGGAGTTAGAGTGTCACACTGGGATTGATTCATGGTGCAACAGCCAGCCAATTATGGTCTGAAACCTCTGTGAACTGTGAGCTAAACAAATCTGTCCCCCTTTAACTCTGAGTACTGTGTATTCTGTCTCAGCAACAAGAGATAAAACTAAACCCACTGTGAACTTACTGGTACACCTATTCTAAACTACCAGTCAAATACAACAGCATCACTTTGTAGTATAATTGCTGAAAGATTTTCTCTGTACATTAGAAAAAATTACTAATTTCAACCATACCTCTTGGCTCCACCAGCATCAGGTGAGACAATTGTACAATTCCTCCATTCAGAGATATTCTCTCTAATCCACTTCAGGACAGCTGGCTCTGCATACAAGTTGTCCACTGGAATATCAAAAAAGCCCTGGAGAAAAAAGCCAGGTCAGTCATATTTTCCTTCTCTTTCATTTATAGCTGGCTAACACAAAGAAATTAATAACTCACATAGAGTACCTTATTATAACATTGAAAGTAATGAGGAAGGTATGGAAAATTGTAAAAATGACCTCCTTAAATCTTGGCTGAGAGAGCCTAGCCAGGACCAGCAAAACCAGCCCTTAGTCACCCCACAACCAACCATAAGAAATGGGGTGTTATAAATAACTACTAAGTTCAGCCAAGACCAAAAAAGAATGGCCCAACCAATATTCAGACCCAGGAGTTAATACTGCTTTATGCCACCCAATGTTGAGTTGTTTTACCCCAAAAACCAGCTAGAGATGCCATGGTACATGATAAGTTTATGTAGATGCCACTACATAAACTTAGTGGAAGCTATTCATAATACATGATCATACAGAATAACTAGTACTCAGAAAATCCATATTCTAATTCTAGTTTACACAGATATAATTAAGTTCTCAATTAAGTTGCTACTTTTCTGTAAGTTGGGTACAATCCACTGTCCTATGTACTTCATTAAACTGCCATAGATTCAAATGATAATGATATGAACGGATCTTTAAGTAGTATAAAATAAATGGTATTCTACTCCCCTTACTCTGGGTTTATGCAAGAAAACAGGTTCCAATTCTGTGGTTCTAAATTTAAGATTATGAATATTCAAGGGGACAAAAACATGACAATAACAGCTCACATTTATTAAACACATGTTATGGGCCAGGAATTATTCTCTTATTTTATACTCAAAACAATTTTTAAAAATGTGTCTTTGGAGAAGTAACTTGCCAAAGGTTACAAAGCTAATCTTCCCATAATACTAGACTACCCCCCTTCCAAATCACCCTAAACGACAGATCATGAGTAATGCTTGTAGCTATATGTAAGGTACGTAGCTTTAAAATGTTGTCGATGCCTAGTTTACTGGAGCTATACCTGAGCAGCTGTTGGCTCCTCTGCAGCCCTTTACCATTATCGCCTACTCCCCACACCTCCCACCCCCATGACTGTATGTAGCTCCTACTGATACCTGAATCTGAGAAGCATGTAGATCCATGGTGATAATGTGGTCTGCACCTGCTACAGACAGCATATTTGCAACAAGTTTGGCTGAGATTGGAGCTCGGCTCTAAATGAACAAAGAAAGAAAAATCAAAAATCCAACTGGAAAAACAATTTGTTTCCCCAGGAAGTATTTTATTGTGAACCTGCTATGTGTAAAGCACTGTACTATGAGGGAATTCATGTGAAAAGACATAGCCATTGGCTGAGTAGATCATAATCTAGAACAATTATTAAGTGAATCCTAACTATTTCAACTCAGAATTCAAAATTAGTATACGTCATTAATTAAAGTAACTTCCTAGTTTCCAGGCTGGCCTTGAACTTGTGGTGACTGTCCTGCTTCAGCTTCCCAAGTGCTAGAACTACAGGCATGAAACACCATGAATGTCCATCTTTTCTTATTCTTTTTTTTGGCAAACCGGGGATTGAACTCAGGCCCTTGCGTTTGCCAGTGAAGCGCTTATTCCACTGAGCCATCTTCCCGGCCCCTTTTCTTATTCTATCAGCAGGCTCAAAGTATCTTTTAAAATTTTATTAGATATGGTATATACATATAACTGTATAACATATAACATGTCAAAGTTTAAAGATATGGAAATTGTTTCTGCTATAAATTACATCACTGTCTTACTTATCTGAAGATGGACTTTCTAGCAACCTCCACTCCCTTAAAAGGAAACAGCCTGCTGCACAAAATAGTGAAATTCCTTGCTATAACATGCTATACTAAGCAGAAATAAAAATAGCTGACCTAGCTGGGCATTGTGGTGCATGCCTGTAATCCCAGCACTGGCAGGTTGAGGCAGAAGGATCACTGAGAGTTCAAGACCAGCCTGAGCTACAAAGTGAGCTTAAGGCCAGCCTGAACTGCACAGTGAGACCCTGTCTCAAAAAGATTAAAAAAAAAAGTTGACCTTTCTCTCAGGCTTGGGGGCCTGGCCCTAGCTCAGTTCTTTTAGTGGCTGCTTCCACAAAGCTTTCAGCCTCAGGTTGCTATAGTTCGATCCCCACCTTTCTCTCAGGCACTATGTGTAAACAGTGGGCTTTCATTACCATCAACTGCAGCCAGTCGTGGTGGTGCGTGCCTATATTCCTAGCTACTCAGTAATTGAGGCAAGAGGATTGCAATTTAAAGGCCAGCCCAGGCAACTGGTACACTGTCTCAAAATAATAAAATGAAAGACATGCCTAGGGACGTAGCTCAGTGATCTCTGGGTTCAATCCACATCCTGGGGAAAACAAAGGCTGCACACAGTGCTCTCCCCCTGCAACCCCAGCACTAGGAGGCTGGAAAGTTCAAGTGTAGCCTGGGTAGCAGTGTCTTAGTAAGACTGTCTTACAACTGAAAAACAAAAAAGCTGGGGATGTAGTTCAATGTGTGGGTCACCCCACCCCTCAATAACACAAACTTTAAAAAATTAAAATACAAAATTTTTAAAGTTTTTAAAATGAAATACACTTGTAGTTTTAAGTAGATGCATTGTCTTCAACATACCACATAGGTGAGATACGTGGTACCCAACTATTCATATAACAGACTTCCAATATTTATGAAGTTCAAATATTTTCACAACCAGGACCCCAATCTTAGGACAATTTGAAAGGATCTATTGGAAGGGATGTACATGTGGTGTTTTCCCTACTGTCTTTGTCTTCAGTACTGTGGATTGGACCTAGGGTCATTCCACTGAACTACACCCTCAGCCCTTTTCATTTTCTTTATATTTTATTATAAGACAGAGTCTTGCTAGGTTCTTCAGGCTGGGCTCAAACTTGAAATTCTCCTGTCTCAGCTCCCCAGAGTGCTGGAATTACAGCCATGTACCACCACACCTGGCTTGTGTTTGGTTTTTGACTCAGGATCTTGCTAGGTTGCCCATGCTACCCTTGAACTCTGGGGCTCAGGCAATCCTCCCCAGCCTCCCGAGTAGCTGGGACTAGAGCTGTACCCCATCACAACTGGCTAGAGAATCTACTATGGGTTAAAAAAATTATACTGCATAGGTCTGGTGCTTAGTCTTATTAACTAAAAGTTACATATTTATGACTTGATTAAAATACAGAAAGTAAATGAGTTATGTTATACAAACCAATTCTGTGTCTACTATCTTGAAGACGGGGCAATGCCTAAGGAAATATGGTTTTTAAAACATTTCATAAATATATATATAACAGATAGTTAAGGAACATTTTATGACTCTGAGCAATGTTCCTGTTTTCCTTACTGGGAAAAGATTCTGCTCCTACCTTATCCTTCTTATCCTGCCGGGCATAAGGGAAGCACGGGATGACTGCAGTGACTCGGCTGGCTGAAGCAATCTTGCAGGCATTAATCATGATCAAAAGCTCCATGAGATTGTCGTTGATTTCACCACAACCACTCTGAACAATGTAAACGTCTTCTCCACGTACACTTTCACCAATTTCCACACTAAAATGAAGAAAGACAACTTTAAAAAACCACATCATACTTAGTAAGGTCTAAAAACCAAAGCTTCCCCATGACCATGCCGTGGCTGGGTTATAGCTTCATTGAACATCAATTCCCTCAGCCTTTGGGAAATTCAATGAAGGACCAGAAGCTGTTTTCTGCTTCAGTTTACTATACCAATATGAGCTTCTACAAGTGATGTGGGATGAATAAGATTGGCTAACTTGAGTCTAACTTACTTACAAATAAATAATTGAGCCATAACCTCAGGGTGTGGCCATGTGGCACAAACACAAATTAGGCATCACCCGTTGACTGTTACATAATCCAAACATAACAACAGTAGTAGAAATGGAAAGAATTAATCACCACTGCTCCATAATGAATGATGCTTTCTAGAGAAGACAGTACCACTTGTGTCATACCGACAATTCACATAACACTAAATGTTTATATGCTAGCCATGGTGCTAGGGACACAACAGTGGATGAAAGAGAAGAGGTACTTGATTTCCTCCCATGCTAAGTGTACTCTGATCTAATCATTAAGTTTTGTTTAACAAAGACTATACTGGTCTTGCTTTATCTTGATCTTAACCATCCAGCAGAAAAGTATAAAAACAAGGTATAAAAAGGAAAGCCATATTAATATGCTGAGCTGTAAAAGGTTCAAATCAACAACTTCTGACATTGCCAGTCCTATGGATAACCTACTACTATTATGGACTACCAGACTATAGTGGATTCTTTTGCTGAATTCACACACCTATAATATTTAAATGGCAATGGAATACCTATCTCTGACAAAAGTAAACAAAGGCAGATATAAATGATCACTTTGTATCTGTATATACAAAATAGGATAGATGTACAGCTACTTTCTCTTAATTCAGTAAGAAAGATTTGTACTAATAGTGTTAGCACAGGATATCATGTCTGCATCTTATACAATGAATAACCACTACGAAGACAACAATATGCAATGTATTAATTATTGTAACTGTCCTACTAACCTGTTTTAAAACTCTCTCATTGCTATTTGTTTCTCAATAAAATTAAAAAAAAGATTCCCTAGGATATTACAATTATGGACGGAACTATGTTTTAACATACAATGAAAGTTTCACTACCTATACTTAGGATCTAAAAACAAGTCAAGGGCTAGAGATGCAGCTCAGTGGGAGAGTGGCTTTGGGTTGCCCAGGAGTCACTCTCCTTCTGAAGACCACATCCTAAATCAATCCTTGAAGTGAAGTAGGGGTGTTTGTGTGTGTCTAGACAAGATTAGAATGGTTAATAACACCCACTGAAAAACACCACCAATTCAAATCACAAGGCAATATAGTTATTAAGTGAAAGATCCACAATTTTTGTTTTGTCGTACTGGGGATTGAACTCAGGACCCTGTGCTTATCAGGCAGACGCTTAGGCTGCTGAGCTGCATCTCTGGACCAGATCCACACTTTTTTTCTTACAGTTTTTATTTTCTTTGTGGCTTCAGAGACTGCTCTGCCAAACATATCACTTTTACATAATAACTCTGTCCCCAAAAAAACAACTTCAAGGAATCCTGAAACTTCTATCAATCCACAAATGTAATTCTATCATAAGAAAGTGATTTAGGTGCCTCATTTCTTTGAGCATTTGAGTATGTCCTATGTGTTCCTCTAATAAATCCTTCTGATGCTTCTTAAAAATGTCATGCCTATAATCCTAGCACTCGGGAGGATGAGGCTGAGGCCGGAGGTTCACAGTGAGCTGAAGACCAGCCTGGGCTACAAAGTGAACTCAAAGCTAGCCTGAGCTGCATAGTGAGGCCTTGTCTCTGCAAAAACAAAATGTCAGACTTGTACCTAGTACTCTTGAAATTTTTAAAAAGCTAATATAGAACTATTTGTTCCTTTCGAGACCAAGTAACTACTGAAGAGATCCTACTTTTAAAAAGAATATTTGGGAAAGAAAGGAATAAGGATATACCATGTATGGCAACTTAATAACCCTAATCAATATAAACTATATAAGCCATAACATGTGTTATGACGAATAATATCAATAGATATGAAAACTGTGATTGGGGAATTAGAGGAGGGAAAGGAAAAGGGGAAAATCAAGCTGTGATACGTACATGTCAATACTCTCCAAGCTGATTGCAAGATATATGGTTTACAAACACATACTAATAAAA